AAATATAACAAATGAAGCTAAAGTATCTATAGTTTTGTTATCTTCATTTCACAAATATCTCACACAACACTAAACTTGATTATTACTGATAAAAACTAGATAACAATAAAAAAAGTCCAATTTTTACAACAGGTAGGCAAGCCAAAAGCGTCAAAATATTACTTTCAATAACCGAGAGCACCACAGCGTGTAAGTAACAGATAACCTCTCTAAACCACTTATATTAATCTCTACAACATTATAGAAATTTAATTTTCAAATAATTAGAGCAGGGCGTCCTACGACCATCGTATATAATGTGTTAGCAAAACTTCTGGTTTTTAAAAATTTCCTTAAGTTTGAAAGAACGGCTCCTATTATCCGACTTCCCATTATCGTTAGAAAACAATAACCACCATCTTAAAACCACTGGATTCCATAGGTGTTGAGCAATATTGGGTACTAGGTTAACGGAGTGGCTACTCGGCGTATGCAAGATAGTTTAATATTTTTGATTCATTTCAGCTTAAGCTCACCAAACCTTAGAACATATGACACTGAGTTGGAAATTCATTTCGTTTAGCCAAATGAACACCTTTATTTGTGTTCTTGAAGCTAAGTAGTAGAAGTTCCTCCGTATTGGTTCTAAGGTAATAGTGACGAACTAGTAAGTACTTTACTAAATGGTTACCATTTAACAATATCAGCTTGGCAACTGTAATACTCGCCTTTTCAAGTGTTTGTTTGTATTTTAAAAGAACGGATCAAATAATTAAATTTCATAGTTGTTTAGTTTCAATCTTTCTAGTTGTACTAATTGCTAGATACTCTTTCATCGTATTATTTCAAAAACGTATTTAAAAATTCCGAATGTGGAACGCATTTTGTAATCGCTTCATTCATTCTAAAAACAGAGACAGAAAGATAAAAACATGGAGTACTACTCTTTTTTATTCTCCGTTTCTCGCGAAGGATTCATGAGATATTGCTCCAGAATACACTTAGGGTCACAGTTCGGCATGCACTCCTCTACACACACAGGCTGCTCGCTGTCCTCCGTCAGCAGAGTGGGAAAAGTCACTATTTGTATAGGCGGTTCTGATGTTATTGCTTGTGGCTGCAACTGCGGTTGTCCGCATGCAGCCTCGTTCCCACCTCCACATCCAGCGGATGTTAAATACTGAGATGGATCTGTCAGCTCAGACAACGGATTTTGGATAGGTGACATTTGGGCACATTTCTGCTCACAAGACTGACTGCACTGAGGGAGGCACGTGATTAATGCAGGATGAGTGTCGCATTTTTGCTGACATGACTGCTGACAAACTTTTGGGCACTGAGACCGTACAAATACCATAGGAATGGTAATACTCATTGTGTTTTGCTGAGGCATACATGACTGCAAGCAATTACTGGCGCACACTGAAGGACAAGTCAGAGAGGGCCTATTCTTCAAACAAGTGGGAAGGCAAAACTGCTGACAGGATGAGCGACATTGTGAGATTTGAGTTTGGCGTTTACAAGAGCAGGCAGAAGA